TATTTAGATATTTAGTTTAACATATTTAGTTTAGAATATTTAGTAGCCTACGTCTAGTAGCCTACTAGTACGTCTGCACATGGCAGGATGATGACGCATCAGCCAATATGCTATAGGAAATGAATAGAAACATTTGCTAATTTAGTTGTTATAGCACAAAATGTCAAATGAGTTAAAGAGTAAACAAAAATTTAAAGAGTGAATAAAAACTGAAATGACAGAACAGCATGTCTTTCCTCTGGTAAGTAGGTAGGCTAATACAAAACAATCACTGAGATGAGAAATATTAGGCTATAGGGACAGAATTGCAGTTAAATTATCAGTGGATTATGCAGGTTTAAACCTGTTTTGTTCAGTTTGGATAAAAGCAAATAACACTACCCATAGTATAAATTATAAACACTTTTTTTTGTTTGTTTAAATAGTATTTTCACTTGACACCAGAGTGTTGATGTGCAGAACACATACTGGCTAGCTGTACTAACTGAAATAAATGTAAATCCAACATTTTTTTTAACAGTGATATGGTCTTCACAATAAATAATCTTTTTACTTTGTATAAATGTTTTGTCTTTGGAGAAAAAAAACAAAAACAAAACATTAACTAATATTTAGGATTTGAACCAAACCAAAAAAATTATTTTAGAAAAACTAAATTTTTTTTAAGTTGGTCCAAGCTGTTTTAAAAATGAATGGTCTCACACTAAAAAATCAATTTAAAAAAAATAAAAATAAAATTGTGGTAACATGCTATTTGGTAAGATTGCTTTTACAGTTCACAGGGAAAGATCGTGGTTACGGAAGCTTTTTACTGGGCTTTTTCTACTGGTAGTCACGTGTTTGCTGGTGAGTTCATGAAAATATCTATTTTTGGCTGCTGTTAGCTGTTTTCGGAATCAAATTTACTGGCATTTTGGTCCTTTGTATTTTCATGGTACACACATCTTTAGGCCAAATTATTTGTTTGTCTGAGATCCTTTACAATTTGCTTGGTATTAATTATGCATTGTACTCATTCTATAGCTCTGTGATGTTAAGTGGGCCATGATAAATAAGCAGGGCATGCAGGTCTTTGAATGATTACATAACAATGTTTGAAGTATGTAAATGTCTGAAGGTCTTTGTCTAAAAAAAAAAAAAGATTCCCTGTTTTTGATTTAGAATCAAATGTAGATTGGATGTTTAATAACAGTAAAATGAGTAAAACAAAATAACGGACTATTGTGTATTTGTAGGTTATATGGTCTTATATGGGAAATGAAAGAAAGAAACGCCCTTCACCCAGTTTTTTGTCTCAGCACTGTGCAGGACTCCAGAACTCTGCAAACTCCGGCTCTCCTGCAGGAATCAATTCAGAAGTCTCAGAAAAGTCTCAGTCACTAATAAACTCTTTTTACTCTGAATTTGGAATCAGTTTAGATGGCTACTCCAGGTTACAGCAGGCTGTTTACTGGGCAGATCCTGACAGATCGATCACAAATGTGTCCATGAGTACTAGTCCAGCCCACACCACATTCATCATTGAGAACCTGAAAGAGAGCTACCAAACTAGTGAGAAGTTTTTTGTTACGGTGCACGCAAAGGACTTTGATAATAAATCTAAGAGTTATGGAGGCGACTTTTTTCAAGCCAAGCTGTTTTGGTCTAAATCCAAGGTCAGTAATTGTACACATTACTTGCCTGTTGTTTTTACTGTAAACTCTGAGAGAGTTGTACTGAGAATATTCCTCTGTCACAGGCCAGTGTGTTTGGGGAGGTGGTGGACCTGCTCAACGGCTCCTACTCTGTGCGTTTCCTCCTGCCGTGGGTCGGCGAGGCCCAGGTGGCTGTGCGTCTAATTCACTCCAGTGAGGCTGTGCAGGTCCTGAAGCGTCACAGAGATACTGACTCTGACAGGGTGTACTTTAATGGATTTTACGAGGGACCAGGACCAAATAAGACCAGGCTGAGTGAAGCAGTGATGTGTAATGTTAAGTGGGACAAGAATGGACTAGAGCATATGGGAACTGGAGACTGTTGCTGTGAATACAAAGATCCCCGTACCGAAGAAATATGGCGCTGCCAGAGACCCAAATCCCTGCCATGCAGTGCCCGTGTGTACCATTCTATGGGCGGTTATAGAAACCGTCTGACTAATCAAGAGAAGAAGCTTATGTGAGAATAAATGATTCTTGATTGACTTTATACTTGATTTATTTTATGCATTGATGGAAGGCAGTATGACAGACAAACATGTTCTCTTTGACAGGAAGCAAACTAACAAAGGTATCAATGGAGATAAGAGCATCATCAAAATTGTTCATTCCCATGGAAATGAAACTATTGGTATGTTGGTCAATAGTTTAACCCAGAGGAATAGTACAGCAGAGATGCTGGGAAATATGTTGCACAAAAAAGAGGAATAAATGTACTGACACTTAGACAATGCAAGTCAAAATAACGAGTTTAGATACATTTTGGGCAAACTCATAACTTTGTTACACTACTTACTGTTTCCCTTTACTCATCCTGCAGATGTAGCAGAGAAATGTCATCCTGGTTTACACACTCCAGTTCCAGCCGGCTTTTACCTCAATGATGTGTGGACGTCCTTTGTCTGTAGCACCCGACATTTTACAACCCAAACGACAACAGAGTGCCTGAAAGACAAACACATCTACATGATGGGAGACTCTACTATCAGACAGTGGTTTGAGTTCTTTGTGAAAGCAGTACCAAGTGAGATAAATAGCTGCTATATATATATATATAAATTGTGTTATATATGTGCAATACATGGGATCATATTTGTTGGTGTCACGTTTTTATCAGCCCTGAAACAGATGAACCTGCATGTCCAATATCAGTCAGGGCCGCTCCTAGCAGTGGATGTGAAGAACAACATTGACTTACACTGGAGGGCTCATGGCATTCCTCTGCGCAGTCGAAAATCAGCAGTTGCTAATCTGCACTACATCAGTAATGAGATCGATGACCTGGCTGGAGGACCCCACACGGTCATTATGTTTAATCTGGGGCCCCATTTCACCACGTACCCTCTGGATTTCTACACCCATAGAGTGTTGAGGATCCGCAAAGCTGTTCTAGCATTGTTACAGCGGGCGCCTGACACTACCGTTATAATCAAGACTGTCAACACTGGTTATAAGGTAAGCCTATGCAGCAGGGGACCACAACTCTGGACCTCGAGATCCACTTTCCTGCAGAGATTAGCTGCAACCTGAATTAAACACACCAACCTGCAACTTTGTAGAAATCCTGAAGACCTTGATTAGCTTGTTCAGGTGTGTTTGATTAGGGTTGGAACTAAACTTTGCATAAAATTGGATCTCGAGGTCCAGAATTGACCCCTGCTATACAGTTTCATGTGTTTAAATACAAGGAGGCCACACTGTGATGGCAAGATTAGGGTTGATGTTGCGTTTCTCTGTCTTTATAATAGGATATTTTCGGGAGTGATTGGTATTCTCTACAGTTGGACAGAATTCTGCGTTGGGCTTTTCAGGATGTTGGTGTTTATATTCTGGATGTGTGGCAAATGACGGCCTGTCACTACAGCAAAGAGAACATTCATCTATGCCCCGTAATCATCAAAAACGAGATTGACATTTTACTCTCTTTTATTTGCCCCGTATACATTTAAATTATTAAATTTTACTACAGTTGAAAATTCAAGTCATGTGTAGAAAAACGTCTCGGTTACGTATGGTAACCCTCGTTCCCTGAAGGAGGGAACGGAGACGTCACGTCAGATGACTGACGAATTGGGATCTCAATTCGTCGGTCATTAGACGTGACGTCGGGAGTGACCGACTGAAAGGGAACTACCCTGAAATACTTTGTGACTGTTTTAAACAAGTGTGCGCTTGTGTACTAAAAACAGGTCACATAAACACTGGAATTAATTGCAGTTGTATTCCTGCATCCTCATGGATTTGTCACTCCTGATGCTTATCTACTATAGGCATACTTTAAATATGATACATACTTCACAAACCTAACCAAATATATTTAAGAAGTTATATTGGATTAGGTAAAATTTAAAAATACAGATTAAATAAATAAAAATTAAGATATAGCACAATGTTACATAGTTTCTTGAATTGGCACCAGGGAAACACATAGATGATGGGCACACAATTCACAAAAGATCGCTATTAATCAAACATTTTGTCTTTGTAGAATCATGCTTGTAGATTATATCAACTGAACTCCTTGTTAGTAAAGTGAACGTATCCCTGCCTGTCACACGGAAGACCGGGGTTCGATTCCCCGACGGTGAGACCTAGGGGGCAGTCGTGGCCTAATGATTAGAGAGTCAGACTTGTAACCCAAAGGTAGTGGGTTTGAGTCTCAGTACCGGCAGGGATTGTAGGTGGGTGGATTGAATGTACAGCGCTTTCTTCCACTTTCAATAAAAATAAAAAGTGACATAAAAAGTCATAATTATGACACAAAAAGTCAAAATTATTAATTTCAAAGTTGCAATTATGACATAACCATGAGATTTAAAGTCAAAATAATGGCATACTAAGTCAAAATAGCCTTACCCTGGAGTTGGTTCACCCTCCGCCTATGACTTAGTATGTCATAATTTCAACATTTTGTTATAATTTTGAATTTTAAAGCCATAATCACAACTTAGTATGTCATAACTATGACATTTAAAGTCATAACTGTAACTTACCAACGCATGATTTATTTTTCTAACATGGCAGAAACGGGCTTCCATATGTTTCTCAGCCAGGCCAGGCCAGGCTCCAGCTCTAAAACATAAAGTGGGCAATAAGATGCCTAATGAATGAGAACATACAAAATAAATATACAATGTATTTTCTTTTAATTTTTACATATATTCAACATATTCTTAAAATAATTTAGTTTTCCGATAAACATTTTATTTCCATTATCATATACATCATGTTATTTACTTGCATGTGAATTTCTAGAGAACTGAAGGGGTTGTGCTAATCTCAATAGCAAAGCGTCACACTTGACCACCTTCTACATTTTATCTTGCAGATGCATTTATAAAAAATTCTATCACTTGTGAGTTGCTAATGGTAGATGCGAAACATTTCTTATAAAAATGTTTTAAAAAAACACCAGCTCACACCCCAGCTGTAAGATTTTTTTGGTTACTGAGAATTAGCGCAACACGCATGCACAGTTTCAGTTCTCTAAAAAAATACAGCTGGAATCGTCAGTTAAATTGACATTTTTGTGGTTGCCACTTGGTAGCTGAACCAAACCAGGCAGTTATGAACACAGGATGAACTCGATGGCTGAGTAGAACTGTTTCAGCAGCTGGCAGGATGAATTTCCTCAGCTGGTGAAGGAAGTACAACCTCTGCTGGGTCTTTTTAACAATGTCTATGTCAAAGTCTATGGCTGCGTTCCAGTCCATGTTTTTATGCCTTTCACTCACTAACTTCCCTCTGTCTCATTTACTTGGATGTAGGCGGAAGGCATACTGGCGGAACCCTTGGAATGGGCTGAATCGGAACGTCCTAAGCCCTTGATCACTTAGAAACTGCTATGGAGTTGGTTTATTGACATTTTTCCCCCTACAAATTTGTTTGGTGCAGCATTCTATATGTATATAGGTATGCTTGGGCTGTTATAAATGTAAAAAAATAAATAATTTATATATTATAGAGTTGTTTGGGGTGGGGATAAATTAAACGCAATCTGTGGCCTGACGTGTACATGTGAAGCAGACTCGCTCCCACGGTCAAAATCGAGGGGTCAAGGGTTAGGGTCTGTCTGTATAAACTTCCCTTGTCCACTTCACGAAGTGGAATGCATTTCAAAATGGCAGCGGGGATTCCCCCGAGGGGAAGTGCTTAGGGAAGTTGCTAGTGCATGTCTAAAAGTGGAGTGGACGAAGGTTCCTTTTAAAATGTATTTCACTACAGATTACAAAATACATGCTTTAAAAAGTAATCAGTAATGTATTTCGTTAGATTACTCAGGTTTAGTATCTTAAACTAAATACTTTAAAATACTTTGAAATACTTAAGCTCAGGGGAGTCATGGACTCATTATTTTTGAGGGGGCACGAGTGGGGGGAGGTCGTCATGTGACACACAGCAGCCACAATAGCACTTATGTTTTTTTTTCTTTTCCTTTTTATTCAAAACATTCCCAAACGCATTATCTATATCATGAAATATCTGGATTCTCACCTATGTTAGTTGATCTATAGTGGGCGATGGTCAAAGAAGTCTAATATAGTCTATTAACTATACATAAAAACCTGTCTATTTACTTACAACAGTTATGGGTGTCATGCCATAACATAGTTTTAATACGACTGACTTTATATTTAATGTGAATTTAACATTGAAAGTTAATGTGAATAAAACCTTGTAAGTTAGGCTACTTAAATTTACCAGTGTTGATTTTCCAGTCTTACAATAAAGTGTTAAAATAAAGTGTTGGATCAACACTGAACAGAATGGGTCTAACACCAGAAGTGTCAGTTTTCAAATAAAAGTTGGTGTCATTTTATGTAGTTGCAAACGTTAACTCTCTTTCAGAGTTAATCAAGCCACCTCCGTTAACGTGCAGACTAGACGTCATTTTGATCGAAACAGACCACATGATGCGGATGCCATTTTACTTCAGTGGAAGAGTGGTGGTAAGTCTGATATTTTAATGTTATAATACAGATACAGACTGTAAATTGATTCTAATATTTATAATTTGTCCTAGTCTTATCTATTTTTGATCACAAATAATTCTAATAACAAGACAGCCAACGACCTGATAAAACAAATTCCACAGATAAGACCAGGTGGAGGAAATGTGCTTAAGGAGTATGAAGATACAGGGACAATTAGTGATGACACGAGGAAAGTGATGGTGAACATCTTAGTTGCACACATGATGGAGACAGAAGGGTAATTATAAAAATATTATTCAGTTTGTTAGTGATTTTGACGCTATATAGATTAAGTATATAGATGTAGTTGGGTGCTACAAATTTGTGCAAATTTTCAAATTTGTTGTTTTTTTCTGAAAGTTACAGTTGTTTAATTAAACGTTCTTAAACATTTCCTATCAGCGTAAAGTAACGTTGAGTGTTCCCATTCTTCAGAAGGGTCCCACATCGACTTACCAAACAGAAGTATGGTTTGGGAATTATCACCTTGTTTCCCTCACTCAGAGATCCCCAAGGGAGGACTGGATATGTAAGTCATTATCACTGATCAGAACATTCAATATTTTGTGTTCATTAACTCTTCCTTAATGAACATACATCTAATTTCTTTGTTCCATTCTGAAGATGGAAAAAAGTATGGCATGGACAAAATACTTGCCCCATTGGTTGATGATGTGAAAGTACTTGAGCAGAAGGGAATGACGGTGTCATTTTCTGAGGAGCCCATCTTTGGTACTATTGCGCAAATTACGGGTGATAACCTAGGTCTAAATAGTATTCTTGGTTATGTTGAATCTTTTTCTGCAAAACATTACTGCAGACTCTGTCTCACTGACAAGGTGTTAGCACAGGAAGTATTTAGTGAGGATGATCCACGGGTGATATTGCGTAATAGAAATCTAAATGAAGAGCATTACAAGTATCTTGCTGACAACCCCAATGAAAACTCCTGTTATTGTGTTAAAAGAAATTCTATACTCAATACCTTGACTTACTTTAATGTATCTGAGAACTTTGTGCTGGATATTATGCATGATATCCTGGAGGGAGTTGCACAGTATGAAGTGAAACTTTTTGAATATATGAGTTCTGGCGATTCCATTCCTCAAAGATTGTATGCCTTCAACTATGGCTTTTTGGAAAGAAATAGCCGCCCAACCAAGGTCAACCTTCAACAAGCAGGAAACAGCATTGGTCTCAATGCAAGTCAGACATTGTGTCTCATTAAGAACATCCCTCTCATATTTGGAGATGTAGTCCCAGAGGGAGATAAGCACTGGCATTTGATGTTGCTGCTCTTACATATTGTTAATATTATCTTTTCTCCTTGCATCTCTGAAGGAATGATAATATTTTTGAAGCATCTGATAAAAGAGCATCATCAGTTGTTCAAGGATTTGTATCCTAGGAATCTAATTCCAAAACACCACCTTATGATTCACTACCCTGAACGCATCAGACGAATTGGCCCATTGATTCATGTATGGACAATGAGGTATAAGGCAAAACACAGGTTTTTTAAGAGAAATCTAAAAAATTTCAAAAACCTGACCAAATCACTTGCAAAAAACACCAGGTAGCCATTGCCTATTACTGGGAGTCCTGTACTATCAAGGGTATTGAGTCTGGCCCTGTTTCAAATGAGCTGTTGTCTGACCTTGAAAACTGTAATTTTATTTCAGAGCAGCTCCAGATTGATATCTCTAGCGAGGTGATTGTCACACCGTGGGTAAAGTGTCATGGTACTGAGTATCGCAGTGGTCTTGATGTTTGCTTAGAGTTTGTTCAAATTTTTATTGAGGATGGAATTAATTTTTTGGCATCGTGTATGGAATCAGAGTTTGTTGAACACCTTCATGCTTTCAGTGTTGTTGAACAAGAGCACAGTCTTGTACTCAAAAAAACCTGAGGAATTGATGTACTACAAGCCATTTGATTTACAAATGTCCTATGGCAATGACAGTCTTTTTTACATTGTTGTGGACTGTTATTTGTAATAATGTCATGGCATTGTGGTTTCTTGCTCTGTGCTGAAATAAAGTTTTGAAACAGTAACAGAGTGACGTTTTCTTCATAGTGAATTTCTAGTTTATTTTACAGTTTTTTAGTAGGTAATGCAGAACCATAATAAGAAAGTAACTCCCAAAAAAGTGTTCTGTCAACACCAGAATGGTGTAACTTTTCACTCTTTTATAAAGTTGAGTATATTGTGATTTCCATTTTTCCAAAGTGTCAAGTCAACACCGGAATAGTGTAGAATTTTAACTCTGCCAGTGTTTGCTACAAAGCTGCACCCAGCTCTGTAACAGTGTTGTTTTTATCTGCATCAGTGTTAATATATCACTTAGTGTTCATATTTTAACACTATGTTGGTGTTGCATGAGGCAACACTTTTGAAAGTGTTAAATTAACATTTTGTGGGTGGTTCTCATATATACACTTTTAAAGTGTTGAAAAAAAACTCTACTGTAACACTTTCATTGTACAGAAAGAGAGCAAAGAACATTTACATTATCAAAGAACATTTTCACTGACAGCCTAGAGTTCAAGCACTCTCAAAATCTCCCATTTAAATCACTGAAGCTGTTTACAGTGTGAAATGAATATCTTAATTATATATAGGCCACACACATCTGCACTTTGTTGTTTCTAACGAGAGAATTCGCCAAAAAGAGGTATTCAGCAGTGGCGGCTCGTGGGTTTTAAAATAGAGGAGGCACTCTAATTGTATTGGTCTGGGATCCCTGCCGATTATTACAGTCAGGGAGCCAGTGAACAAAGCACCTGCATTTTAGTGATGACTCATCAGAACACCTCTGATTGGCCATTGCATTCATTAGCTCAACAGAATCGTGATTGGTTATAATGCGCAGCGCTGTAAAAACACGTCTGTCTCTGGCTCAGCGCCAGCCAGCGAATGCAGATTTGAATTTAGCAGCTGATGATATGACGCACTGAACGATTTAATCATGCTGTTGTGATTGTATCAAATATACAAAATATTATTCTGCTATTTTTTGTCTTTTGAAAGCTGTATTCAAAATCCACTTGGCTCAAAAATCACTCACTTTGAATGGGCATGACGCCTCTGATAACGACATTAAAGGCACAATATGTAAGATTTGTTTATTAAAATATCCAAAAACCACTAGAACAGTGTTATATATTTTGCTGACTTGTGTACTGACATTATCCCAAATGTTTCGAAGAATGTTTAAATCCAGAGAAATAAGCAATTTTAACTAGTGACACGGACTGTGTCCATAGTGTCATTGTGTCGCCTGCCAATGACGTCATAACCCCACGATTTCCGGTTTCAGTCGAAGTAACCTGAGGATCCTATGGCGATATGCCTGCTTATATAGCCAGATGGCTGCTCTGGTGGGCTTCGTCGCCATAGGCTTGTGCAGCTCTGTTGTCGAGACATTGGTTCGTTTTTTAATTCACTGTACAAACCAATGGCCGTGCAGTTACACTGCATTATTGAAAAAGGCTTCAGTCATTGGAGAAAAAGGAGTTTTTCCCATAGCATCTTAGCAGACACAGTACTCGTTCCCATATCTCAGGGAACCGAGTACGATTTCTTAATATAATTGGTTTTATTTTTTCATAAAAAAATTGAAAAGCATATTATCAGTAGCCTTGGAAATATTTTTGTTGACTGCTAAAGAGAGCAGTGGCGGCTCATCGGGGGAGGCAGGGGAGGCACAGCTTCCCCAAAATTTTGAGGTGAAAATGGGAGGAGGACGATTTAATGTTAATAAAATTCACAATTCTTGTCTCAGAATGTGTATATTTTGTTTGTAATTTCACAGCTGTCATACCATAACATGTTACTGAAGTTGGAAAGCGCCGCTTTTCTATTGCGAATGTGCCGAATCTGCTGATGTAGGCTAATTACAACCACTAATGATGGAGAAGGGGAGGGGGAGGCCGGGGGAGAGCTGAGCTCTCATGCCTCCGTTGGTAAAAAAAATTAGCCAATCACCATCGAGTGTTCACTTTTAGCGCTTAGGAGTGTTGAGAAAAGACACCTCTTTAAGGGAGGCTAACCTCCCTTCTGATATCAACCAATCCTCATAGAGTCGTAAATTACGTGATATTAGTTTGAACGTCTGCCGCTGCGCTGATAATGTACCAAGTACTTATGATGAGTAGCGATATTGAATATTTGATCGCCAACAGATTTAACAAGCTGTCATTCAAACAGTATATATACAAATTTAGGGAAAACAGCCTAAGCTGGATATAGGCTACAGCAGTCGGCTTAATTAAATGGCGCAACAGGCAGCTCTCTTGTAACACAGACTTTTAAGAAGGGATGGATGTTTGCTGCAAGTTATAGGCCAGGTAAGTGAAATTATATTATCTTGCTGTATGTGTGTCGATTTCTGTACGTTTTCTGACTAAAAGTCAGAAAAGCCATTTTAAAGTGGTTAAGCAAATAATAATAATAATAATAATCGGCATTCGGCAGGGCTCCCCAGACCAATACAATTAGTGTGCCTCCTCTATTTTAAAACCCACGAGCCGGCACTGAAAGAGAGAGCTGTATACATGAGTCTTGAGATGCCCTCTGCTTTTGTAACCAATACTCTTCCCCTCAAAGATAAGTCTCTTAATAACCACTGATTTAACTTTTTCTTTGTCTTATCAATAATAGGAGAGAAGTTTAGCTCACATCTTCTCTCTCCATCCTTTACAATCTTTATACCTAAATATGTGACTTTTGGGATACCACAAATAGATGGTAGATCACACTGCTTAAGAGTCATTAATTCACACTTATTAATATTCGAGTGAAGACCTGAAGCTTTAGAGAATATATGGATAATATTAATAACTTAGGGTATTTCTCCTACATCTTTCAAAAAAAAGTGGTATCATCACACAGCAAACATGCCCCTTTGTGGCCCGTGTGGGTCCACTGCAGGCAGAAAATCTAACTCATGCAGGCAGCCCGCTGTGGGCCCTGATACTGGCGTGAAATGTGGGGCACGTGCGTCCATACCAGTATGTCCACAATGTGGGCTGGGTGTAGGCACAATGAGGAAAGTGTGGGGAAAATATGGGCATACTGTGGGCTGGATGTGGGCACAGTGGGGAAAGTGTGTGTGAGATTCTATAACACCCTGTGACCTTCTGTACCCCGTTGTATGCATCAGCTTACATCAGCATCACCAGACAATCACAAGACATGATTTAGCTGTTTTTCCTAAACTGTCTCATTCCATTTCCCTGCTTGTGCTAAGCTAACAGTTACACTTCCTCTGTTACTTATATATAACAAAGCCCCTCGCAATAAAGATTTGAACCTTGAGTGAACTACACTTCTTGTGTCTGTGTCATTCTTGGGTCCCTGGTACCAGCTTCTGTGCTCCACCGCTCAACAACTCGATCTGATCTGCTCAAACAATTTATTCTAACAGTGTGGGCATACTGTGGGCACAGCGGGGAAAGTGTGGGGATACTGTGGGCTGGGTATTGGCATACTGTGGGCACAGTGGGAAAAGAGTGGGAATATTCTGGGCCAGAAATATGCCCTGTCAGCATGCTCTGTGGGTCCTTAACAAATAACACATTTAGTTTTGTCCTAATAAGTAGCGTCCCAGCCGAAAATGTGTACCTAGGGCCCCATGTAGACCCCACAGTATGCCCACACTTTGGAGAGAAATGTGGGCATAAAACTGTGTAAGGCCATTGTGGCCTTAACAAATAACAAAATTTGTTTGCTTTTACTTTGTACCTGAAGAATACTGCAATATTCCTATTAATGCATATGCAAAATAATTGCACGTTGAAAGTAGAAGTAATAAATTAAGTCATAAATTTAGAACACTTTCATTTATTCACAGCTATGTAAAAAACAAATTCAGAAAATACACACTACCTTTCAAAAGTTTAGGGTCACTAAGATTTGTAAATGTTTTTGAAAGAAGTCTCTTATGCTCACCAAAACTAAATTTATTTGATAAGAAATACATGTAAAGCGGTAACATTATGAAATATTACAATTTAAAATAACTGTTTTTAATATATTTTAAAATAAAAAAATTTTTTATATGAATTTAAATTTAAACTAAGTTACATTTTCAGCAGCCATTACTCTTCAGTGTCATACAATCCAAAAGAAATTATTAAAATATGCTGATTTGGTGCTCAAGAAACATTTCTTTTTAGCAGTCAAAAACATTTGTACTGCTTCATATTTTTGTTGAAACCGTGATGCATTTTTTTCAGAATCCTTTGAATAGAGCTTTTAAAAGAGCAGCATTTATTTGAAATAGGATTTTGTGCAACAATGTAAACATTTTTGCTGTCGCTTTTTATCAATTTATTGCGTCCTTGCTGAATAAAAATAATTTCTTTGGAAAAAAAAAAAAAAAGTACTGACCCCAAACTATTGAACGGTGGAATATATTTAATATTTTTTATAAAACAGAACAATGACCAATTATAACTACATCAGAACATTAAGTAGATTATAAATCAATGCCCTAAGGGGCACCAGTAGAGCTCTGCCTGATCTATGATCTTCTGTTTTTTCTGCTCCTTCCACCATCCCAAGTCTCTTACATTACGGAGCCCCTTTAATATAAGTTTCTATTTCAGATGTTGTGGCCTGGCTGTTTTTTGTTCCAGCATCTAAGTGAGAAAGAAAACAACAATTAAAATATAAATATATATTTAAAAAGAAAAAACTAAACAAAACCTTGACTGTTAGAGCATTTCTACCTCAAGAAGTCTCCCAGGGCACCAATAATCTTTTGTGGAACTTTTATTAATGTTAAAAACAAATTTATGCTTTGTTGATGGCAGAGATACACTAAAAGAGACAAAGAGTGCGAATGAATAGCATGACTAAATGAGACCATGCAAGAGCTGTGGTTGATTGAAACAGAGACTGAAATTAAAGGGAAACGGTGAGTGAAATGAAAATAATTTATATACATTTTCAAATTTCTGTTCTAAAAACATGTTGACTCAGTTGTTGTAGGCAAATCTAAGGTATCCCATATGTGTGTGTTGTGTTCATTTTTTTCCACTTCAGCAACAGTAGGCAATATTGAGTACATATTTAAAGGGGTCATATGATGCGATTTCAAG